ATTAACAAAAAAAGCTTCTTCCAACATGTTAAAAATAAGAAAAAAGTTAAAGAAACAATTGGTCCATTGCTAGGAGAAAGTGGCAAGAAGGTGGCAAAAAACAGGGAGAAAGCAGAACTATTTAACTCATGTTTTGCATCTGTCTTTTTTTGCATCAGTTAGAACAATTAATCAGTGGACCAGCTTGCCTCCAGAAGTTGTGAATGCCCCAACACTGGAAGTCTTTAAGAAGATGTTGGATAGCCATTTGTCTGAAACGGTATAGGGTTTCCTGCCTAGGCAGGGGGTTGGACTAGAAGACCTCCAAGGTCCCTTCCAACTCTGCTATTGTATTGTATAAGACTTTCTTATAATTTGAACAGTCAGCCACACTCTGTTTTTTGCTTCGTTCTCTGCATTTTGTTCAGATACTACCTTGAATTCAGGAGAAACCAGTTCCTCAATTTTGCAATAAAAATCATTTGTGTGAAGTTCTAATTGTGTAGAATGAGGGACTTCATCAAATCATTTTATCTCTCCTCAGACATGGTCTATCTTAGAAATATAAAGCTGAATGCCATGCCTGAAATTCAGCAAAGGAGAACAGGAATAATGATTTGCCTGTATCAAAGAGCATTAGCTATTTGTTTTCCAAACATGATTTTGTACTCCATGAATCAATGGACATCATGGCATCCAAGAACTTGGATAAGAATGCAGTCTAAGTTAAGATTGCGCCCCCCCATGGCTGAAGAAGTCAGGTATAGTATTCTATTTCTGTTGTTCTTTTCTAAATTACAAAATTTAAAGAGTTATGAAATATTTGGCAGTTGTGTGTGTGTGTGTGTGTGTGTGTGTGTGTGTGTGTAATATGTATGTGTACACACATACATATTAAACACACAAACAGTATGTGTGTATATGTATGTTATGGAAAAACTGTATATAAGTGTATACATTGAAAGGATGATTGAGTAACTCAACACAAGCCATGCTGCTTCTAATTCTGAAGAAACCTTGAACCTCAAAGTATAACAGGTTGCGTTGGCCCATTTACTTCCCACACAATCAGTACAAAGCTTTTACTTAAAAGGTGTTTCCTGTGAAAAGATTTTAGTATTGACAACTGTTACAAATAAACTTTGTGTGCCTTTTAACAGATCATTATTTCGGTGTCAATATTTGATCAAGGATATTTTACCTTCATAGAACACATGCACAATGTTTGTTATCAACACAACCACATACAGTAAATGTTGAAGTTATTTTAAGCCAATCAAAACAGGAATTGTAGTAATAAGAGCATGAGAATAGTTTCAGATTTCAAATGAAAGGCATGCTACCCATCCTATTTCTTATTGTGATTTTACATTTTTCCGTTCTTTCACTATCAACAGTCTTGTACAACCAAACACTGATTACAAACTTGCTGCATTCTGAATCCTATTGAATGAGCTTCTGGACTTGATTTGGAAAAACTGAATCATTTTTTCCTATATTGCTGCAGATTAATATAATCTTTCTTGCAAATATCAATGACAACAAAATGTCAGCAATTATAAAAAGTTCCATTTTACCATTTTTAAACAGGGAATTTTTGTGCAAATACATTTCTGAATAAATGCTATAGAATATATACTGAGTATTATAAGATTAACAATAATTAAAAGGTCATTGTTTTTCAAGTGTACAGTGTAATACATTACATCGGATTAATTTTGCAAAACAGAACACAGAACATATTATTTCAGCCCTCATCATGCCTAGAGATTCACACATTCATTATGTGATGTATTTTAAAGTTTCTTCTTTTTCTTTTTCTCTCTTTCTCTTCTTTTATTCCCATCCTGTAAATCAAAACGGGGATATTTTTATACGGAACAGGAGTCACTAATAAACAGCTGCTCTGTGTTAAGATATTTATCTAGCAGCAGTTTTTAAAAGTGCAATGTGCTTCCAACACTCTGAAATGCACCCTCATAAATTCGTTCTACATTTGCTATACAAAGATCAAGAGGCTGCAATCCAATGAATGGAAAGAAAAATCTGGCACTAAGAAAGTACATACTTTGGGGAGGGGGAGGCATTCCATTAAGCTGCAGCAGCTGAAGAGGAAAATAGTTATTGAAAAATCCAGAATCTCCAGCTAAAATACCTAGACTACTCTGAAGCAAAAGAACAACAACAATCATCTCTTTAAAAACAGCAGGTACCAATTCTGCCACTAGTTGGACTCTGGACGGAGCATCTCCTTGAGGACTATCACACAAGCAGGGGCAGAACAGTGCCCCTCCGGTGAGTGATTGGAATGCTGCTGGGAATCGGCTTTCAGCTTTTGCTTGCAGAACATTTCCCGCATCCCTTGCCGGAATTTGGGGTCCCAAACACTATAGATAGCCACATTCCAACAGCTGTTGGATGCCAGGATCCAGAAAGCATAGAAGGAGAATTGGCACCATTCATATCCCACCACAGAGCCCAGAACAAATACAGCAATGGGAACAAAAGACACGGAGAATGCCAGGGTCAGGATGCCAATGGTCCTGGCAGCAGTGACATCGGGGTAAGAGAGCCTGTGGGTTCCCTGTGGGTCTTCCCTCAGTTGCTTCCGCATTTTGTGGTACTGCCGGAGTGTGGCAAAGGTGATGGAGTTGACAACAAAAGTGCCAATTAAGAGGGTGAAGTCAAATATTGGGTATAGGAGCATGACGTTCCATTTGGACTCTTGCATCTTGCCCGAAGGAAAGCCGTAGTTGCACATCTTACTGCAAGAATTGTACTCAAAGGTGATGTTCGGAATTGAGAGCAGAGGTATCACCGCCAAGGAGAAACTCAGTATCCAGGATCCAAGAATCAGCCAAGTGATCCTACGCTTGGTAATCACAGCTTTTCTGTGCAAGGGCTTCAGCACAGTGATGGTCCTCTCCACCGAAAGCAGAAATACGGTGCTGATTGAGACGAAGGTGCACCCGGCAAAGATAGGGCCAATGATCAAACAGACCGACAAGCCAGCTGGGCTCTCCATCCCATAGGCCAATGTGCTCGTCTCCTGATAAACTGAGTAAGGTACTACAATCAGCCCCATAGCCAAATCAGCAACCGCCAAAGAAGCTTTTAGGTAGCTTTGGGGTGTCCGGAATTGCCTTACACAGAAGAAAACCAGGAGACTCACCAGGTTTCCAAGAGTGATGGCCACGATCAGGAGGACCATGAAGAGCAGCTGGCAGACCACTCCAGCAAAGGCCACACTGCAGTCTGTGCTATTGGCATTCCTGTTGTTGCTGCTGTTTTCCAACATCGATCAGGCTCTCTTCCCTTTCACAGGGCAAAACAGAAAGAAGCCAGCTAGGGAGCTCCACTTTCAAAGGGCCATGGAAGAGGCTTCCCAGGATGCTTGGCTCAGAAACGACCAATTCATAGGGAAGTCCATGCCAATAAACAATTCAGTCATTGAAGTTCAGATCAGCTGCTACAGTCACATAGTCTGTAGGTGCGTGAAGCACCTGAGCAAAAGTCAAACAGGAAGGGCTCTGAAACAAGAAGTCTTCTCCATATGTCAGAAAGGGGGAACAAAAGTCAGAGAAGCAACAGCTCAAGGGAGGGATCAGATCTGTGGCTTGCGTCAATATCCGAAGAGTAAGTCAACCTTTTCAATCACTGTGTTTGATCCGCCACAAGAACATCCAACATTTCCTCTCCTCGTCTCTGATAACATATGGTGAATTGATATACTCCTTTAAGTGATAATGAATATTCTTGATGCATTTTGATGCTATTTGCTTCTGAATACAATGGAATATCCAGGCTCCACCCTTCCTTGGTGGGGGGGAGGGGCACGCACCAAGTAACATGGACAGCCACCTTTCAGGATAGAACTTCAGGGCTGATGATCCTGCATTCCACAGAATCTATGATTACCCAATTGCAACCTCTGCTTCTAACCCACTTCTGAGCTACTTCCCTGTAGTAATTGAAGATGGGCATTCTAAAAGGGGGCCAAGCCAAGAATGTATCTTAACCCTTTCCTCTGCACGTGCAGAAGGATCTTCCAAGGTGAATGCTCCCACCCAGACCCAAGCCTGTTTATGCTGCCCATCAGCCCACCCCACCCCTCCCCTCCCCAAAGCATAAGGTGGCTTTTAAAAACGCACCCTGGAACACTTCAGACTGGGGCAATTTGTGCCCAGCATCTTCCGGCAGCGCATGGGGATGAAGTTCAACATCAGCTCGAAACCGCGGCCCCTGAGCCCTTTCTTGCCTTCGTCGGCATTGCTCCGCCACGATCTTCGCCGAGCTCCTCGGCCAGCCCCGAAGGGAGCTCGGCTGACTTCCGAGGCCCTTCCTGCAGCGCCAAGAGCGTCCAGCTCCTACTCGCAGCTTCAATGCAAACTCCGGCCGGACAACAGCTCCGTCGCCGCCGCCCCCTGCCTCTCGCTCTAAAAGTCAGAGCTTCTTCGCAAGAGCTTCGCCGCCTCCGTCCGTTCCTCTCTCGCCTCGCTCTCTGCGCGGCCGTCCTGCGATTTGCTGCTAGAGCCGCTCGCAACAGGTGCTGCTGCTTATCCAAGCAGGTAGCATCGTCCCGGCTGGCCTGCTGAGAAAGGCGGGCAGGTGGGCTCCGCTCAGGCGCTCCTGTCTCCCGAGTCGTGGAAACGAACCCGTCCGCCCAAGCGAAGGGCAACCGCCGTCTGGATTTTCGCTCCGTAAAGCATGCCAGCCCGGGTCGGGATTGTTCGGGGCCGCCCGCCCCCCGACGCTTCTGCGTCTGCCCAGAGGCGGCCCCTTCGCTTCGAGCTGGACGCCCGAAGGAGCCTTGGAGGCGGGAAGACCATCAATCTTCCCGCCAATCTTCAGAAGGCGTCTTTCTCTGTTTTCTGGGGTTCGTGGGCAAAGAGCCCCCTTGAGGCCCTCACCTCGGGAAGCCGTATCCTGCCCCTTAAGCATCCAACAGGAGAGGTCTATGGGGATTCTCAGTCATGGTTGTCCCAAAGGTGCTTTTTCAAAAAGCAACTGGACTCCCTTTGTTTTTGCTTGAAGACGTTTCGTTTCTTATCCAAGAAGCTTCTTCAGTTCAGCAGAATAGAATGGGGAATTAGCAATAGATGTTGCTAATTTTGTTTAGATTAGAACAGGGGTCACCAACCTTTCGGATCTCAGGGACCAGAAGTGAGTTTCTGCAAGTTCACCCTCGATCTGGCGAACTGGTAGTGGTGCCGGCGGGAGGCTCCGCGCACCCACCCGGACGTGCATGTGCAGAAGTGTTGCAGGTGTGCGCACACGAGTGAACCATTAGTAAAATAAATTGAAACCTACTGTCAGGGACCACTAAATTCATAATTTTAAATCCCATGGACCAGTAATATGGATTTTTTAAAGATAAATAGCAATTAGTGCAATATAAAAAATGCAAATAATTTTGTGTGGACCACCAACATTTTCTCACGGACCATCAGTGGTCCAATATACCAGTGGTCCAATCCACCAGTGGTCTAATCCAGCAGTCACCAGTGAGTAACACAGGTCTAAATTGCCCAGCCTTCTCCATTCAGGTGCCTTCCAGGTGGGTTCAGGTATAACAGCTCTTATCAATCCCAGGCAACATGGGTGACTGACTTGCCTATTTTGCCAGGAGGGCAGAGGGAGAGTTATGGTTTTTAAAATTAGATACCCAATTTATGAAGTGATATATAAGTTTCAGTGCTATTGCTATTGTGGATAGTGAAATGAACGGAACGTTTTCTCCATAAGAAGAAGAAAGTCTCCAGCAATTTCTCAAGGGAAAAATTTCCTGTTAGCTATGACACAGAATGGCAAAAGCCTCATGGGAGGAATAGAAACTGAAGCAAGAACTGAACTGAAGCATGGGAAGGCAACTGAGAAAAAACAGCAAGGAGGGAGGAGAGGCTATTGAGTCCCCACGATTATGATCACTTATAATAAAAAAAAATAAATGCAAAAATGACTTTCTCTCTTCCTGAGAATTTATCTGAAATTCCCTTCTCTGTTAAAAGTTTCTCAAGCACTTTCTCCCCATCAAACTAAACAACAACTGATGCAAAAAGATGCAAGAAACTCTCTCAATCCAGCATTACCCCAGAATTTTTCTGGAAACACCTGAGGCAGAGTTTAAGATTTCCTGCACAAAAAGGACACTACTGAACTACAAACCTCCTTAGTTATTATAATCTAGTCTCGAAATTGTATAGATTGCCAGATACATGTTCTCTGGGTTTACAATTAAAATATTCAGGTTTTTATTGAAAGAGAACAATAGATAGGCAAGATAGGCAGAACACCCTGCCCATTTTTTTTCTAGGGGATTACTTCTGGAATTACTTCTTAGAGAAGTAATAAAATGCCAGTTCAGCCAAAAATAACCCTTAGAAGTCAAAGGATAACTAAGGGACTAGCACTGATGATGTTACCTAGTTTGAGTATTGAAACATCTACAAGAAAACAACTACCTCAGAGAGCCTCAAGGACCCCACATTTCAACCTTGAACTACAAATATTCTTCTTTGTTACCAAAAGAAAGTTATTTCGAAGGGGAAAAGGCTTGTTGAAAGTAAGATCAAGGGAGATAATACTTAAGGGGAAACCACACACTAAAAGGTATTGTTTAGTTATTTTTTTCCCTAAAACACACAGTCTTTGTACAACAAGGCACTGTCTTTCTAGTTCTGCCTTTAGTATTCCTAATTCCATAAATTATATGTATGATATTTCATGCTTTGCATAAATCTATCTAAAGGGGTAGCATTCCTTATTTTTAAAGATTTAATCTCATAGCTTCTAGTAGTGCAATAAAGTAATAATTTCTTGTAGTGAAATAAATTCAATTTGTGTTTCGAAAGGAAGGCTGTGATCTTACTAGCGGGGAATGTTTTCCTAACCAGTATTCTATCAGTAATGAGAAATATATAAGCCAAGAGTATTTCTGGAATGGGATGAGTTTTTGCCATTCATATCCCACTAGAGAGGGGAGCTACTTGTAAAGAATTCTTCCCTCCCCAGGCCTCATAGCTGCTGAGATTAGGCAGAGGGTGACCAGGGAAGAATCTTAACAGAACAGAACAGAATAATAGAGTTGGAAGGGACCTAGTAGGTCATCTAGTCCAACCCCCTGCTCAAGCAGGAGACCCTACACCATTTCTGACAGTTGGCAGGCCAGTCTCTTCTTGAAAGTTTCCAGTGATGAAGCTTCCACAATTTATGAAGGCATGCTGTTTCATTGGTTGATTGCTCTCATGGTCAGAAAATGTCTCCTTATTTCTAGTTTGAAACTTTCCTTGATTAGTTTCCATGCATTGTTCCTTGTCTCGTCTTCAAGTGCCTTGGAAAATAGCTTGACCCCCTCGTCTCTGTCGCAGCCCCTTCAATATTGGAACACTGCTATCATGTCTTCCCTGGTCCTTCTCTTCACTAGACTAGCCATGCCCAGTTCTTGCAACCGTTCTTCGTGTGTTTTAGCCTCCGGTCCCCTAATCATCATAGTTGCGCTTTTCTGCACTCTTTCCAGAGTCTCAACATCTTTTTAGTCTTAACTTTGATGGTACCTAAATTAGTAGCATTTTCATTAGTAAACAATCCTCACCCCAGATTTAGTCACTCTGAAATCCTTATTGGTCTCTCTTCATTTAATTTTATGAGGCTTCTGGTAGTGCTTATACAGTAAGCCTCTGTTTTTTCCACTTTGGATGCCTCATAATGTTCAATGAGGCATACCTTTCTTTGTTTGCTTTCAATCTATCTGCATAATTGGGGATGGAAGTAATTCCCATTGGATTTGGTGAATATCATACTTCTACATTTGCATAAAATTTCAGTGTCAAGTTTCCTCTTCCACTGTTTTTCTCCTGAATTTATTCTTATTAGCAATAGCAATAGCAGTTAGACTTATATACCGCTTCATAGGGCTTTCAGCCCTCTCTAAGCGGTTTAAAGAGTCAGCATATTGCCCC